AATAAAAAATTTGTTTACCAAAAAAAAAAAAAAAGTGAGCCAAACCACACAGCGTAGGAATCCGTAGCACGGAACACTCAAAACACAGACACACACTTGCTCTGATGGTATCTTCTGGCCAGTTTCAGTTTTATCCTCCTGGGCAATCAGCTACAGCATGTCACCTGGGCAGGGCAGGAATCAAGGAACTGGTGAAAAAGGTTTATAAGGAAAAGGAGCCTGTGGGTGGTGGGAAATAAGTGCTTAAGGATAGAAGCCAGGGGAGGAAGCCTGGGAACACTTTTGGGCCAGCTGAATGGGATATGGGCTGAGTCTCCCTTGCTCCCCTCCAGTTGTAAGTAATTAGCCTGGATCGGGCTAATTCTGTCTTGGGTGAATTTAATTATCAACCATGTAACCAGAAAGGGAGTAGAACTCTTCCCAGAAGGAAGAACCTTGTCAGGGGCTAGGTAATGGCATGCCTAACTTTTTGTGCTGCTGGCTGGGGTGGTGGGGAGCGATCAAGCAAGCAAGCAGGAAAAATCAAGGAAATGCTGTACCAGCTTCCCCATACTCATGTCAAAACCTAGGATGGTGACCAGCCTTAGATAATTAAAAACTTGCTTGGCTGCCCAGATTCTCGCCAAATGGCAACCTTCAGCAGCTTCTTGACTGGAACTTGGTCCAGGCACTACGGAGGACTCCTTGGCTATGCTCCCCTGGCCTTCCAGTGGTCTCAGAAGTAAGAGTCAGTAGCTAGAAGGAGCTGTGCTTCAGCTGCAACTGGCTCTAAGCACTACAATGAACTACAGTTTTTGCTTTTTGACTTCTAAGCATACAATATCAGACTTTGTTGTCACTAGATGGTGCTGCAGAGCTGATACATTTAGTTCGTTGCTCTGTTCAGTAGCAAGGGCGCCCTCCAAAAACAACCACTTGCTACTCAAAGAGGAATGAAAGATAATAACTTTTTTTAAAAAAGCCTTTTATTGTATCCATTTTTGCAGGTAGGTAACAGTGCAATATTTTGTAGAGTTAATCAAGTCCAAGCGCATGGACTCCAGTGGGCTTTGACAGGTGTCATTTTGCATAGGATGGCACTGTAAGTGTGCAAGGTTTTATTTATGTAGAATTCCTTCTCAAACAATAAACTTGCTTAGAACTAAATACATTCCCATCTGTGCAATTCACATATGTTCACTTACAAATACCAAGGCAATAAATAATCTCAGCAAACATTCTGGAATAGTTTGTAAGGATGTATATTTATGCCAACATTTCCCAGGAGTAGGAAATTAATTAACCACATTTAGCACATTTTAAATTTATCATGACTACTGAACAGCAGCCATGTTGTACCCTCTGTGCCCATAAAGATAATAAACCTTGATCTTCCAGCTTGCAAAGGAGCTGCCGGATCTCCTGCTTACTGCATATGCACGTATCAGATGCAGCCAGTCACCAGAGAGCTAGAAGTGTACCTCTAGTTTTGCCAAACATAGGATAGAGGCTAGTAGACTCTGTTCCATCTTTGGATGGCAACATATATTTTAAAAATGTCCACAAAATATTGTTTCCTAAAAGCACTTGTATCCAATCATGCATGGACACAACACTACGGCTTTTACCAGTGCATCAGACAGTAGCTGTACAGTAATTCGCACACAGAATTAACAAAAGACCAGAGGCCCCTTTTAAAGATAAAGTTAACTTCTACTTGTGACTCAATTTTTTACAATGATCATGCCTGAATTCTGTGCATGCCTAGTGGAAGTCAAGGGAAACACAAAACTGAGCTGAAAGGTGGGTGAGAGTGCAAACTGGAGACAGAGAAGCCTGCTGCCAGCCAGGATCTTCTGAGAAGAAACACTCACCTGGGAAATTCCACAGGTGCATTTTGTGAAACTTAAAGCATGGGGGAGGGTGCTACATAATCAGTTGCATAGCACAGGTGACTTGGTAAGGGGAAAAATAGCACACAGGTAGGGCACAAACCTGCCTGATACACAGAGGTAGGCTTGGTAGGACTGCCGCCTTTTGAAGCTGCCTCCCAATCTGCACCTTTAACCATTGTGGGATTTGCAACAATGCTCTTAGTTCTATGTCATAAAGAACTTCACCTGTAGAGTGAGGACAATGAAGACTAGAAAAGTGGGCACAGTGGGCTTCAGCCCCCTGAAAGACAGTGCAATTGCTGTCTTGTTTGCCCTGCCCTAGCCCCTTGAGAGAGCTACAGAAGGATGGACCCAAAGAACTGCTATGGGATACTTTAAGCCAGAGGTCATTTCGGGGGGGGGACGCGGGGGATCGCAGTTCCCCCGGGTGAGGTGGGGGGCGGGGCACACGATGAAGCCCCGCCCCCTGCTTCCAGCCACCCCGCTTCCAGCCCTCATTCAGCCAGGAGACAGGAGAAGAGGGAGGGTAAGTTGCTTCCTCCCTGCCTCTCCCCACCCCTGCCTGCCTGGGGCCAGGGAGGGCCTTGGCGGGGCTTCCTCGCACTCCCGCTGGCCTTGCAGGCCCACCGCCGGGCCCCTGATGTCAGGGGGTGTGGCATATGCTAATGAGTTATGCTAATTAGTTCCCCTAGCTCTTTTTCTATGAAATGACCCCTGCTTTAAGCTACTAGATGGGGGCCAGGTGGGCTCTAGTAGCTTTAACACAGGTTAGAGCAACACAGTAATTAGCAGATTATGTGGAGCAACTTGTGTACAGTAATATCAGCATTCTTTCTCATCACCTGCTACATGATCCTTTTCATTGGTGGTGTCAGATTGAACCTGGGGCCTTTTGCATGCAAAGTGGATGCTCAACCACTGACCATGGCCCCTACCTGAATACACTGTTATGACAATTGATGTGACAGTTTGGGTCCAATGTAACCTAATCCAGAAGTAAACAAAAATCAACTAAATTCTGAGCTGAAATTTTAAACATGTATAAGCAAATAAAACCGTTGCTTGGAGTTCTGTATCAAATCTAGAACAGGATCTTTAGAGAAGTATGTGTGATATTTTAATGAATCTGACGAAAACTTCCCTCTGAGAGAAAAAACACACCTAGGAGAGGGGAAACAGGATCAGGATGCAAACAACAACCTGGTATAACAGGATATCTTAAGATGTTTGGCAAAAAGCCAAGATAAGACTGAAATCTTATCCAAGCACAGCTGTTCCCAGTGGTGCATGGGCTGTGCTGTGCGATTGAATAGTCTCTTGTAGCTATTCTGATGATGTAAACTAAGATGAAAAGCTGAGAAAGAATCAGGAAACTGAAAGAGACAGATTTTGACAGGGGGGGAAATGCAAACTACAACACAGTTTGAGAACCTATGGCTTCACCAGCATCTAACATCAAATGCTCATGTTAAAAATTTTTTGCAAGGGGGAAAAGCATGTAAAATCACTCTTACCCTGTTTCTTGCATGTCTTTCCTAAGAATTTGGATTCAGGGGCTCAGCTTGAACTGAATTTGAAACTGGCCTAGTGTATACTCATAAATACTAGGTACTGTTTCTGAACTCTGGTGAAGTTCAGCATGTCTAATTTGGTGAGTGCTCAGGACAACCTGCAGGGTGTAGTGGTTAGAGAGTTGGACCAGGATCTGGAAGACTCAGGTTGAAGTCTCTGCTATGGAACTTTGCTGGGTATCTCCGGTGATTTAATCCTGCTAAAATTGCACAGAGCAGAGAGAATTTGTCAGCTTAACAGTACCATCCTAAACAGAATTATACCTTTCTAAATCCATTAAATCCCAAACTGTTTAGGATTGCACTGTAAACCTCCTAATCCAATACTAGTGAACTCCCAAGTGTTGCATTGGTTGGACATGTTTGTAGACATGTAATAGACATGTTTTCTTCTATTTTCAATATTTGGTGTTATCACAGAATTTAAACATTCTAGAGAGGGCCGAGCAGGGTTGCTAAATGGTTGGGTAGGAGTCAAGTGAATCCAACCAGCCTTTAGAAATTGGGAAGTGTACCTTTTAATGCCATTGCATTTAAGTTGGATTACCCCTCCATTGTTGTAGAACAACTTGCTTCAGTTCAAAAGTTAGCAACCCTAGGAGTGCAGAGGCTGAGAGCAGAGAAATGTGTGAGATCGAGATCTAATGGGAGGAATGAGTACTGAGAGACCCATGAGATGAAATTCTTAGTCTGGAGGTAAGAGACAGCCCACCCTCAAACACTAGGAACTGCAGGCTGAGAACAAGTTTCTTCACTATGAGATCTAAAAAGGGGAGGGGATGAAGCTCAGGAAACTAAAGTTGGTATCAGATTCCAGCTTTTGTACTGTGCAGCAAACAGACACATAAAGTAGGCATGAAACTGAATTATGCACATGGAAGACAAACATATTTGCAGAAACTGCAGTACAAAAAAAAGAGGTTTTATTGGCATGATAATGACAGGAGAACATTTAATGTAATCGATGATTTCACTTTCACAAACTTTCTTGTGAAGATGTTGAGCTGAGTTTCTTCACAGCATGGGCTGGGGGAGGCAGAGGCTTAGTCGTCCACTAGGTGGCCTCTGTGAGGTCCACTCAGAAGAAACTGTGTCTATTTGTTTACAAAAGACAAGACAGGAACAGAAGAGGAAGGGTACACCTGAATGAAAGATTACCCACCACAAATATGGAAAAGGTACAATCTTCTATGAGGGTAACAAATGCAGAATGGGAGAGGGAATCGTTTCTCAAGTGAATAGCAGTTATAATATTATTTCAGACAGAATACAAAAATTATATGTCCCTCCCATGAGTTATTGCTGCTGTTTTTACTCCTGATAAGAGAAGAAGAGGAGATTGGATTTATATCCTGCCCTTCACTACTCAAAGGTGTCTCAGAGCGGTTTACAAACTCCTTTCCCCTCTCCACAACAGACACCCTGTGAGGTAGGTGGGGCTGAGAGAGCTCTGACAGAAACTGCTCTTTTTCAAGTACAGCTCTTGTCAGAACTATGGCTTGCCCAAGGTCATCCAGCCATGTGCAAGTGGAGGAGTGGGAAATCAAACCCGGCTCTCCCAGATTAGAGTCTGCACACTTAACCACTACACCAAACTGGCTCTCCTGATAACTGTGTTGTTTATTTAGTCCTGTGTTTTAACAAAAAGAGTTCTTACTGTAAGATGTCCTAAATTCATGTGTGTCAAGAGTGAAAATTTGGGGAAAGGATTTATAGCATATCCAGTAATTCATATAATTAGGAGTGATTTCCCCCCCCCCCTTTGCACACCAGACATATGGGACAAATGACCACAGATTACTTATTATGATGGCTTTGTGGTTTCTGTTTATAACAGAAAAGCAAAATCTGCCCAAATCATAATTCTAGAGGGAACTGGAATGCCAAATCAAAGCAGCAAAATAAAGAGACAAGAAATAAGCCAAGCCACCCAGTACTCTGGCCAATTGAAATATTTAATGTAGATGATAACTGAAAGTAACTGGGCAGTATTCCCCATCCTTCCCTTTATTGCCACATTCTATTCACTTTTCCAAAAGTGAACATAGAAACTTTTTTTTTGCCTTGAAAACACATTTACATTAGCTTGAAGCTAGTAATGTACAGAACTGTGCAACCTAAAGTATGATACAGAACACAGGAAACTCAGCATATAATTATTAGAAAGTTTAACATCCTCAATCCACTAATCCTCCTTGTGCAAGCTGCAGGGATGTTGCACGTACAAGAGAGTGTTTTGATGTGTGCAACCTTCTGGGTCCTGCTTTATGCGGAAAAGGAAGAAGCCGCCACTGAGTTCTTCCATATGCAGAGAGCTGCACGGGAGGCCCGTACAGACTAGTGGAGTAGTCCTGCTGACGTATACAGTGATGCACAGCAGAAGTGACCACAAGGGCAATGAAGTTGTGGATTAGCTGTTGGCCCTTACAGACATTCTAATACAATGGAGACTACAGGTCTCTGTTGATGAGTCATATGTGGCATTAGCTGTGTGCAGCACTCATCTGTACATAGGTATCTCTGGATCAAGTCTTTATATGTGTGTGTGTGTGTGTGTATATATATATATATATTTATTTATATTATATTTACAGGTATGCATGTGTGCACACATATCCCCACACTTTCGTGGTGATGCCCCTGAATATAATTAAACAACAGAACATTTTTGAATAGAAAATTATTTAAGAAGCTAGCAGTTTCTACTATTAAGGGATCAATTTGATGTAATCTAATATTTTCACTATAAACAGCTTATATTTACATAGAAATTACACTGTGGTCCCATATACACCATTTTAAATGAAGAAAACAATTTAAAAATTATTTACACATGAGAATGAATTTGTTGTCCAAGGTAACTAAAATTACAGAAAGGATGAAGAAGGATAAAAAAATTAAAATAAATGGGAGGCAGGTATTTATTCGTATTTTTCAAGTTGTATTTTTTTGGCGCATGTTCCAAATTTCTTCTTTTGAGTCACTCACTGCCTCTATTTGCCTTGTATTGCTGCTGCTACTGCTTTGCTTAGTGCTCTGAGAAGACAGGCTGACTTTATTTCTCGGTACAGGAAGAAAAGATTTCACTCTCGAAATGCCACTCTTGAAAGATTCAGTTTTTGGTTTACTGTTGCTGCATTCCATAGGTCGACTACTGCTGAGAGGGCAGGCCCTGGGATCCCCATCCTGTCAACAGAGAAGCATATTTGTAATGTAGCAGAATACCATTAAAGCTCCTAAGGTAAGCAAAAAATGAACAAACAAAGGAAAGACTGCCCAAGAACCAGAGGCCCAAGCAAATGAGGGTGTGAGATGCGCACTACCCGAGGGCATAGAACATTTTTATTCAAATAGTGCAGATAATAAGAAGCCCCATTCTTGTGATGCAATGTCATGAGATAGCTACCATTCTGAGGTCTGTCCAGCCCCATAAACACTGTTGCAGGCAGCCATAGCCACCATCAGGAGAAGAGGAACACGGTGTGGGGAAATGACAAGAGGAGGAGGAGGAGGCGGCGGCCGTGGCTATGGTCGGAAGGCAGGTGACTGAGTCTGCCAGTGAGGGAAAGGAGTGGA